TAGCAGACCAATCACCCTGCAATGGACACTTTCTTTCTTTAAAAATGTTAACTTAAGGGACTAGCTCGCTCTGGATCTGTGAAGGTTTCATGATCAGAGGAAGAATAATGACAATGCATATTTTCATAAAGCTAAATTTATTCAATGTAAGGGACTTCGTTCTAAGACTGCAATCTTCTTATAGTTTTGGGTATTAAAATTTCTCTCATTTGACAGTTTGTGTCTTAAAAATGACTTTACTTGGTAAAATAAAATTTGGGAATACTTATTATTACTTTTACTTTGCCGGTCTATGAAATTCTCAAGTCTAGGAACCACTGACCCTGACTACTGGTCTTGGGAGCCATTCTACCTCTTTAAGGAAACTTTATCTCCTCTGTGATCTATTTTGTATTACTCTTAAATATTAATCGACAGACAAAAAACCCCACAAAAAATAATAATTGACAGACAGCGATCTTATGAATTTCTAAATTGTTAGGAGCAACACAATAGCATGTGTTTCCTTTGCCACAGGTTACTGTCATGATGTAAATTTCTGTACCTGATGCTCTTCACTATATCATTTGGTAGGACAACCAAAGCACTCCCTTAAATTACCTTTGTAGTCTCCTACTCTGATCCATCCCCTCTAAAGCACTTACGTAAAACATCTAACATTGGTGCCTATTTTGGTGTCACCTTGAAACATTTCCTTTCCTATTTCTTCTTTTTCTTTCCATCAAGAACCTCCCCACCACCTTTAAACCTCAGATTTCTAAAGATCTTTTTTTTTTTCCCCCTGTTCTAGGGTCATTATGTATTATCAGAAAGTCAACCAGAATTGGAGGAAAAGCAAGCTTCTGCTCTCTCTGCGGGAGTCCAGGTTCAGCCAGCCACACACAGTGACTTGGACCCTCAGACCACCAGCCAACAGCAGCCCACACAGTACATCATTACAGCTACCACCAATGGGAACGGGAGCAGTGAAGTGCACATCACTAAACCTTAACTTTACCCTCGAGCTCGAATCCAGCAGTCACATCATGTCTTTTCTCATTCAGAAGTCTGAAAGCTTCCAACACTTGGAACTCTTTTTTAAGATTTATCATTCACTTAAGAATTTGGAAACCACAGTTTTGACACTCTACACACCCGGGGGCTTCTTTTATCAAGGTCATCTTTACCAAATTGACTCTTCAAATCCTAGGAGCTTCTACCATGGAATGGATACCTTTCAGGGGAAAGTGGATTTCAAGGTGGAGAAACTTTGCCTTGCTCATGAGTTGGTGTTTTTTTTTTGTTTTTTTTTTTTAAACACATTGGTGGGCCTTACTTTTCCTTTGTGGAAATATTAAGTGGTGTATCACATTTGTACCAAAGGTGGAGAAAGGATGTGCCAAGTTCATGGCCACTGGACTTCTTAATTCCACACCATGGCACCAAAGAAGAGGGGCATTTCATTAGGTCAGAACTGCTTCGTCTTCTGAGTTTGCATTTCCAGTAACTTAACAAAGGGAGCCTATTGAATATGAAAATAAAAATGGTGAAACAGAGGTTTGACAGTGATGCTCTGAAGGAAAAACTGTCGTCTAGATTTTTCTTATCGCTGACTAAAACAAAACAAAACAAGAAAACAAAACAAAACAACTTGCCTCTTTGGGAAACCTGTTGTCAGGCTATTATTGGTAGTGCTTTGTACAGATACTGGCCTTCAGCAGCTTAGGCCAGAACCTCCTGTTCAGAGAGATACTACTTTCTTACTCTACAATGGTAGACTCCTGTAAGAGAAAAGGTTTGTTTGATGGCAGCAGAATTTGAACTCCAACATTAAAGCTTTGCCTCCCATTCTCTGGTTGTGGTGTATTAAGAAGGAGGTATTCAAGATATCAGTACCAAGAGAAATTCCTGAGATAATTATGTATAAAGTGGAAAGCACTGCAACCTTGTCCTGCCTTGCAGGATCCATTTACCACTCGCTGGTGATGGATAAATGCCTTGCTCTTACCAAGTGTACATTCAACTCACATAATTCAGTGTATTTTAGTACTTCTCATGCTGTCTTAAAATGAACATTCTTAAAGGGTGGATGGAAAAGTGGCCCTCCTTATTTCTTAATACTTTTAACTTCTGCATATTTTAAGTCATCTGGACCTTTTGGTAAGATGACCGACTTCACACTTAGGGGAAAAATAGAAATGTGGGGACCATTTTTATGTCAAGGCAATTATAAGGGATATGGGAGAAATCTAATCTTTACGTATCTTACACTGTCATTTGGGAGAGGGAAAAAAATCTGCTCAGTGACAGGTTTTTCTTTTTAACGTGTGTTCCTGTTTGTAGTCTTGTTACTATGAATTCAATGGGGAAAAATTATTTCCCTTCTTTTTATTGTACATTCCAATTGTACACATACAACATTGCAGAAATCAGAATGTATTTTAACAACTTTTTGTGACATACTAAAGCATTTTTAGAGTAATTATTGTGTGATAGAAATTATCACTCCAGAACAGAAAGACCTAACTTCGATTTCAAATGAAGTTAGCTAATCTATTTTATTTACATTTCTGGGTAAAAACTGGTCTGTAAATTAAAAGTATAGTAGCTTCTTTACAGTAAAGATACTTTCCTGGAAAGGAAATAATTCTGTTGAAATAACTTTACTAATATGTAGATTTTGCACTTTACTTTTGAGACCTCATTCATTCAGTTATCCCTGAAAATTTGGGCACTGAGAGAGAATTTGAGAAAATTACTTATAAATGTGTAGGAGCTAGGGATGGACTCTGTCTTGGTAACAAAGCGGTAATGTTGATGTTTTCAATAGAAAATATTGACCCTGAGTCACAAAACTGGGACTCTGGGTCCCAAAGTCCCACAGTGTAATGATTGTAAATATCCTATTGTCCAATCCAGAAAGACTATGTGAAGAATATTAGACTTTGCCAAAGGTCCAGTTTAATTTTTACACCTTAAATTTGGCCCTTTTGGGTCCTTTTTATTTTGAACCAGCCAGGTACCTCCCCTTCCCTCAGGAATAACTTATTGATTAAAACAGAAAACTGTCACTGAACAGAATGTTCATTTTATGCAGTTATTTCAAGTTGTAAAATACACAGTAAAAAATACTTTGGAAGGACCTGTTTGTTTCTTTCCCATCTAAGTTTTTTTTCTTCCTTTTTTGGTTCTTATATGGAATAAGTAAAGGATCTGAAACTATTTTGTATGCTATCAACCAGAGATGCAGGTGGCAGTAAAGCCAAACAACGCTTCTTTAAGATCAAGTATTCTGCACGCTCATTCCAAGTTGATAGATTTTCAAAAGGACTTGGATTTGAAGAGATGGTAGATTATAAGCCATCTGAAGACCAATATACAGGGAAAAATGTATGTAGCCAATGTTTATATTGTGGCCTCTCTCAAGACCCATTGGCACGCTAGACTTCAATCAGTGCAGTGTGAAAATTTCAGAGGAGGTTACATATAGATTTTACATTTTTATTGTTTGATTTGTGCCCACATAAATAGACATTTCATCATGTAAAATTCCTATTATTCTGGAAGAACCTATTGTTTTGATCTTCTTGAATTGTTTTCTGATTGGGAATTATCCTTTCAAAAAACTTTCAAGATATCTAGGGCTAAAAAGCACTTCATGAGATGCGAAAGCTGACCCACAGGTTGAAAATGTTGACCCTATCCTGTTATTTAAATGTGAACATTTATTGTACATTCAGTGAGTTATAGTGTTAATAGTCTTGTGCTACTCAGCAGGTGTAAAAATTAATAAATATTTTTTTTTAATAAACAACTTTCCTTGTTTGTGTGAAGCTACTGAAATGGTTAAATTTTTTTATTTAAAAATTTTTTAATGTTTTATTTATTTCTGAGAGAGAGAGAGGGAGAGAGAGAGAGAGTGTGTGTGTGATCAGGGGAGGGTTAGAGAGAGAAGGAGACACAGAATCCGAAGACAGGCTCCAGGCTCTGAGCTGGCTGTCAGCACAGAGCCTGACGCGGGGCTCGAACCCATTAGCCGTGAGATCATGACCTGAGCCGAAGTCAGACGCTTAACCGACTGGGCCACCCAGGCGCCCCCAATTTTTTGTTTTAATATTACAATTTATGGTGTTTTGACTCTGGTCAGAGACTCAACATACGGGAACATTAGGGTGACAACTATGGAATGGTGTATTCCTGCCCTTTTACTTGGTGGTTTCTAATTCAAGAACCTTCCTATGGTCTAAGTGGCAAGGACTAAGGGTAGGTGGGCAGCCAGCGGGGCAGCAAAGATTGGGCTTTGTTTGAAAACCGCTATTTTGCTACAAGGGAGGAACATTAGTTTGGCCTGCCAGGTTTCCTGACGTATTTCCATCCAGCAGAGAGAACTGACTATGGGCTCTGCAACATTGATGGGAGTAGCTGTGGATTAAGTAGTAGTCTGAAGCTGTTCTACATAAGACCTAGAGAATAAGAAAGGGACCTACATTCTTAACAAGAACATTATCGAGTTTAATTTTAAATGTATTTCTTCAACGTGTGTACTTTCTTTCCGAAAGTCAGTGGTCCAGCGACAAGAAGAAGATATAGGGACCTCGCAGGGGCACAGGCTCCGAGTCCGCGTTCTCTTCACTGAAACTCAAGAAATTGATTTTCCCAGCTGTAAAGTGGGAATAGTGCATAAGAGCACACAGCTGTAGTACAAAGATAGGGGCTAGAAAGTGCTTAGCACAGTGTCTGGAGCAGGGACTCTAAACGTTGGCTAATAAAATTGCATTTACTCCTTCATTCATTGGCCTCGGCTCGCGGCCAGGTAGACTAGGACGTACAGTCCAGCAGCTTCCAAGCTAGGTGAGACCCAAGAGGCCGCTTGCAAACTGCAGCCCAGTACCCAGCAGCGCGGGCCCGCGTTGCCCCAGACCCGCCCCACGCGGCCCCGCCCCCGGCACCCTACAGGCCCCGCCCCGCGCAGCCCCGCCCCTTCCGCCGCCCGAGCCCGGAGCGTGCACGCACCGAGACGCCTTGCGGGAGCGAGCGCGTCCGGGAGCCCGCGGGCCGAGAAGCGCTGCGGGTTGGGAGTCCCGCGGCTGCGGCTCAGGTGAGGGCGGGCCTGGGGCGGTGAAAGGGTTAAAGTGTAGCGGGAGAGCCGGGGGAGGGAGCGGCTGGGTCTCTGAGTCTCTCTGCTCCTCTGGGCCCGCGACAGGGTAGCGGGCGTGTTGGGAGCGGGGCGGCCGGGTGGGTGGGGGTTAGGGTTAGACACGGTGTGGGGGAGGGGCTGTGGGCGCTGAGGTGCAGTTTAGAGGGGCGGGTCCTGGCCTTGGTAAGGGCGGGGTTGGCTAGGGTGGGGCTTGCTGCAGGGGCGGCGGATTTGGAGCGAACGTTTGCTCCGGAAGACGCCAAGGGTTTAGCTTCTGCGTTGGGGAGGGTCCAGGAGGCCGGGCTAGCCCAGGTGCAGGGAAAAGGCCCTTGGGAGACGCCTTCCTGGTCTAGTTAAGGGGTCCAGGACGCCTCAAGATTTAAGAATCCTTGGCTTCCGGGGTTCTAATCCTCTGGTAGTACCTGCTTTTTGTATTTTGAGATCCTGTTCAGAATAGTAGCAGGACAAAGGTTGCCACTCGAATAGATTAAATTTAGCTACACCACCATAGTAGTTGAAGAAACTGGTGAACAAGTTGTGAAACGGGCGATCTTCCTAAGAGCCCGGTAGAACATTGGCTTTGCAGTTCCTACCCTGTTCTATGCCAATTCTGTAAAGAGGACCTTACTCTAAACATAAGGTTGCTGCTGCAAAACTGCAAAAAATGTTTTCTGTTTTAAAGTTTTGTTAAACTCCTGTACCACGTGCTTTCTCACGTGCTTGGGTAATTTAGGCACTAAGACTGCTCAGGGTGTTGTAATTCCCCATGTACTGAAAGGTGAGGGAGCACAAATGCTTGGAGACCATCTGCTTTGTTCTGCACTAATCTTCCTGCAGTATCTTTACATAAATCCGAAAACTCTAAAAGATAACTTGAGGGATGCCTGGGTGGCTCAGTCGGGTAAGCCTCCCACTTTGGCTCAGGTCAGATCTCAGGGTTCCTGGGTTCGAGCCCCGCATGGAGCTCTGTGCTGACAGCGCAGAGCCTGGAGCCTGCTTGGGATTCTGTGTCTCCCTCTCTCTCCGCCCCTGCCCCCCCAAAAAAATAAATATTAAAAATTAAAAAAGATAACTTGAAATAATTAGTGGGAAGATGCTTACTTTAGTAGTACAGCTCTCCGCTTTTCATCATTTAAGGGTTTTGGAATCAGAATTCGTTACAGTGCTATGTTTACGTGACTGCATTAAGTCATGTAAACTGTTATCCATCTGGAGATTATTTATTGTAGGATTCCAAGATTGGATATAACAGTACAGAGGACCTGGGACAACTCCCCTTTGTCTTCCAGATAAGGAAATTGACACTTGGCAAGGTAAGATTTGCCTCATGTCACCGGGATTAAGCTAGAAGTTTGGCATTTTGACTGTTAAGTCTGTTTCTTAATTTCCATTTTATGTGCTTGTTAGTGCATTCGGTAGGTATAGGAGAGAGAACAGATTTAGCAAATGTTTGTAGAGCGATTCCGTTCAAGCTCCCTGTGGTCCTTTTAGTTTTGTTCAATCCGATGGCAGCTTTACAGGTGATTTCTAGCTATTAGCCCAAGGAGATGCTCTCTGAAAATGTTGTAATATGTGCATTTCTGAAAGTGACCAGTAATGTTCAGTTATTATAGGAAGGAGAAACAACATTACGTGTACATGGTTATAAACATCAGATGGTCCTTTAGTTGGCAGATGGGCTTCTAAATTTACTGGCTGTCATGGCCAAGTGCTTGGAGACCCCGGAGTTTATGTGGACTAAAGTCATATTAGCATGCTCCCTCTTCGCGGTTTCAATTGAAAGTTTATACAGGAGGTATAGTGTTAAGAACATCTGTTTGTAGTCAGGCAAACCTGAGTTTCAGTCCTACCCCTGGGGTTGGGCAACTTATTTATCTACTTTGATCCTCAGTTGTAATATCTCTAGAATAGATATGATAATCCTGTCTCGCACAGTTGTAGGAATTAAATGAGATACATGAAAGGCCTTGGACTTAATAGGCCCTCATTAAATAACTTACTGTTAGTGTCTGAGCTTTACTGGTCTGTATGGGTTGTCAGGGATTTTTCCTTCTGCAAGTACAACAAAGAATTAAAAAACAAAACAGTAAGTTAAATTATTTTATAGCAGAGAGATTATTGGCCGGAGAAATCTAAATTATGAACTCTAACCTGTTTATCCTTTAATCTCTAAGTCTCAGTTTGCTCAAATATAAGATGAAAGTGTAAGAAATTCTGTAAATTTGGGGGTTACTGTGGACACATTCTGAACAATAACAGATCTACTGGAGAAGATTTGAAGATTGAGATAAGAATGCAGTAGTAGAAGGGGGCAGAAGTGTATGGCTGCAGTTAGGGTTGGAGGATAAGGTATAACACTAGACTTGAGATTGACTATTTTCTGGGCCAGAATATTTTCTGAAAGAGTGTTAATAGCAGTCAGATGCCTGGGGTTCTTGCCTTTCTACCTAGAGGTATGACTGCATATATTTGTCTAGATTATCTGTGGAACATAAGCAATGGATTCCTTGGACCATATGCTGACCGATCCCCTGGAACTGGGTCCATGTGGAGATGGCCATGGCACACGTATTATGGAGGACTGCCTCCTGGGGGGCACCAGGGTTAGTCTGCCTGAGGACCTTCTGGAGGATGTAAGTAGTAGCTCCACCACCATCTTTTTCTCTGAGTCACGTTGCCCGTAACTGCTGTGCTAAACCTTTCTCACACCCTACGAGGTGTTTTCAGTCTTTTGTGCTCTTTTTGGTTTCATTTTCTATATTGCATTCAGAGTGTTCTCTCTCTTTTTTAACATAACATCTTTAATATTCTGAATAAAGAAGAAAGTATAGGCTACATTCTGCATGCTTAACAGTACGTCAGTATAATAGTATTGTATAAGCCCTATTTGTAACCAGATAATTTTGAGCAATTAACAAGAAATCGTATGTTTTAAGGATAAAATTATGAGTTTTTTAAACATCAAATTGGTTACCCACATTGTGGATCATAAATAAAGTAACCCTGGGACGCCTGGGTGGCTCAGTCAGTTGAGCATCAGACTTCGGCTCAGGTCATGATTTCATGGTTTGTGAGTTTGAGCCCCACGTCGGGCTGTGTGCTGACAGCTCAGAGCCTGGAGCCTGCTTTGGATTCTGTGTCTCCCCCTCTCTCTGCCCCTCCCATGATCGTGCTCTGTCTCTCAATGATCAATAAACATTAAATAAACAAACAAACCCTGTAGTCCCTTAATAGTACATGCCCTGGGATGGGATATTCACATGCTTCTGGCCCATTTCACAGGTAGCTGTGAAATAATAATAATTTCACCATTATTAAGGTGGCTACTACTTATTAAATGCTTATTATATGCAAGGTACTAGGTATACCAAAACATGTATTTAACTGACTTGTTTATTTTGCCATGTTTCACTTATACAGACAGGTGTAGAGTGTCAGTTAGCAAACATTCATTTGTGCGTTATCCAGTTTTAGGAGAGAACTTCATTTAGTCATATTTGGTTCAGATTTTTCTTTCATAATACGTCAAACATTGTAGACCGACTTAAAGCCACCGTTTATTGTCCTTGTCACCTGAAGTAACAACTACTGAAGTTGACATATATATCCTTCCCATCCATGCTTACTGTACATACTCTTTCAGATGAATCTCTTCATGTTATTCATTTAGTTAGCAAACACTTACTTTATAAAGTACCTACTTTATACCAGACGCTGAGATACTAGGCATAAAGTGGTGTGCAAAAATAGATTTGTAGGGGAAGCTCTTGAACACTGAGGTGCGTCAATACATGAATGTAGAAATGTCTTCCAGGTGGTTGGATTTCTGGGTTGTCTCCTGCTTAAGCCTTTTGGTGGCTCTCTCTTGTCCTCAGGATAATGTCACAAGTATTTAGCATGTTTATAGGTCCCTTCCTCCTCTTTTCTTCTGTCTGTTGCTCCCCCTCTCATTTGTGACCTTGTCCTAGCCATACATTGCCTCAACTCTTTTAATTATAAGAAAAGTGAAATGTGGGACACCTGGCTGGTTCATTTGGTGGAGCCTGTGACCCTTGATCTCACAGTTGTGAGTTTAGGCCCCATGTTGGGCATGGAGCCCACTTAAAAAAAAAAAAAGTGACATGTATCATATATAAGAAGAGTATATAAAATCCATATATCTACAGTATATATACAACTGAAGCAGTAATAAAACACCCAACTAACCACCACTTGGGTTAAGAAGTAGAATGCTGCCAGTATCATTTAAGCTCCCTGTATATGCCTCCCCATCTCATCCCTCTCCATTCTCCCCACAGGTAACTGCTGTCCTTTCTTTCATATTAATTCTTCCATTTTTATGGTTTTGCTCTGGATTTTAAAAAAATTTTTATTTATGTAGTTTTAAGTAATCTCTGTGCCCGACGTGGGGCTTGGAGACTGAGATCAAGCGTCATATGCTCTACCAACTGAGCCAGCCAGACACCCCTGCTCTGTGGATTTTTAACTCTCCTGTGTCAACATCTTTTTTCCCCCCTTTCCTTATCCCTTAACTATCTTAAATGTCACTTCAAATATGTGTTCTCTGACACCTTGAGTCTGGGGGGTGTGCTTCTCCTATGTGCCTATGTGCACATGAGCACTTCTTAAGCGACACTGTAATTGCATTTTTTCCCCTCCAGACAGTGTGTATACCGTCCTGCTGCTGGCCTCTCTCGGCAGATGACCTCAACCCCTCAAGTTCTCCCCCTTGTTAACTGTTTCCTGCCCCTCGTTTTAAGCTGAATTCAGTTGTTCATCATACTCCTTGTTGGCAGAAATGTGTTTCCAAATGAAATTCTCTGTACTGAGATCGTTTTTCCTTTGGATTATTTTTATTTTTTTATTATTATTTTTTTTAATGTTTTATTTATTTCTTGGAGAGAGAGAGACAGCGTGAGCAGGGGGGGGTCAGAGAGAGAGGGAATCACAGACTCCGAAACAGGCTCCAGGCTCCGAGCTGGCAGTCAGCACAGAGCCTGATGCGGGGCTCGAACCCACGAACCGCGAGATCATGACCCAAGCGAAAGTCGGACGCCTAACCAACTAAGCCACCCAGGCGCCCCATCCTTTGGATTATTTTTAACATTAAAAAAAATGTTTATTTTGAAAGAGAGAGATGGGGAGAAAGACAGAGAGGGGGAGAGAGAATCTCCAGTGGGCTCCACACAGTGCAGAGACTGACAATGGGGCTCCATCTCAGCTGTGAGATCATGACTTGAGCTGAAACCAAGAGTCAGATGCTTCACTGACTGAGCCACCCAGGCGCCCCTCCTGTGGATTATTATTTACTGTTGGGTATAAGATAGTGGTTTATATGTAGTCTTTTTCTCTAAGATTCGAGAATTGAGTAAAGATCATTTTGGTTCAAACAAACAAGAACTTGGATGCAGTGATGATTGCACAGCACTGTGAACGTACTTAATATCACTCAGCTGTACACTTAAAAATGGATAAAATGGTAAGTTTTATGTTCCATGTATTATACCACTCCCAGGAAAGCTTAAAAGCTTGTTTTCTCTTCTCCTGGTTTTCCGAATTCTCCCAGCCTGAGATATTCTTTGATGTAGTCAGCCTCTCAACATGGCAGGAAGTATTGAGTGACTCTCAACGTGAACACCTCCAGCAGTTTCTGCCTCACTTTCCTGAAGACAGTCTTGAGCAGCAGAATGAGCTCGTCCTAGCCTTGTTCAGCGGAGAGAACTTCCGCTTTGGGAACCCTCTGCACATTGCCCAGAAGCTTTTCCGAGGTATGCAGCTTGGCATTCTGTTGTGGGAGGAGTGGGATAAGTAGGAACACATTCACTTTTGTGAATACTCCTTGCTCTGTTTATCGAACTTATTTCCATGAACACCTACTGACTCAGAGACTGGTTGTGTGCAGCACTTTGCCTGGGATAGTCTTTTCAGTAAAAATTTTTAACTTATGTAGGAAACATAAATCATAAGTGATTTATTGTAATAAGAGCTGTGTAACTACCACCCAGATCAAGAAATAAAACACTACTTGTGTCTTATAGCACCATTTATGACTAGGATTTAAGAAAACTTAAGAACAGTTTACCATTTGCTTGATCGCATGTACATATGCAGTTATGTGTATTTGTGCATCACACATACATACATACTTTTTTCCTACAGAAAACATGATACTTTCCTGCCAAACACTTCAGCATGTATGCATCCATTAACAAGGACATTCTACTATATAATCACAGTCCCGTTAATCATACCCAGGAAATTTTAACACTGAGCAAATAATATCACAGAATATCTCAGTCAGGTGTTCTCAGCTGTTCCCTAAATCTTCTTTATAGTGGCCATTCATTCATTTATTTATTTATTTATTTGGAGAGGACACATAGGAGATGAGCAGAGAGAGAGAGAATTCCAGGAGGGGCAAAGGGAGGGAGGGAGGGAAAAAGAGAGAGAGAACGAGAGAGAGAAAGAAGGGGGTGGTTACCTGAAGCAGGGCTTGTGTTCACCCAAGGTGAGACTCATGCTCACCGCATATGGGACTTGAACTCCTGAACCATGAAATGCTTAGTGACTGAGCCACCCAGGTGCCCTATAATGGGCCTTTTGGTTCAGGATCTATTCAAGGTTCATGTATTGTGTTGAATTTCATGTCTCTTGGCTCCCTGAGTCTTGGGCCTTCTGCTGTTTATTCTTTGTCTTTCAAAAACAACTTCTTTTTTTTTTTTTTTCAATTTAAGTTTAGTTGACATACAATATTATGTTAGTTTCAGGTGTACAACATTTTGATTTGGAATGTATATTCTGAAGTAATCCCCATGATACATTTAGCTACAATCTGTCACCTTATAAGTTGTTACTTATTATTAGCTGTATTTCTTGTATTATATATACATTGTATCCTTTTGTCTTATTTTATTTCTGGAAGTTTGTAGCTTTTAATGCCCTTCCCTGTTTTGCACAGTCTGGCCCCCATCCCCCACAAGGCAGTCGTGGTATTGCTGTCTGTATCTATGAGTCTTTTTGTTTTTTTAGTTCATTTGTTTTTCAGATTTTACGCAAAAGTAAAATCATATGGTATTTGTCTTCCTCTGACTTATTTCAGGAAGCATAATATCCTCTGGGTCCATCCATGTGGTCCCAAATGGCAAGATTTCATTCTTTTTTTAGGCTGAGTAATATCCCATTATGTATATATAAAATGTTTTTCCACGTACTTATCTTTATCCATTCATCTATGGGTGGACACAAGTTGCTTCCGTGGCTTGACTCAGTGCTCGTAGGGCTGCATATACACTTTCTGAGTTAGCTTTTTCAGTCTCTTCAAATAAATACCCAGATGTGGAATTGCTGGTAGTTCTATTATTCATTTTTTGAGGAACTCTGTACTGTTTTCCACAGTGGTGGCACCATTTTTCATTCCCACCATTAGTGCACAAAGGTTCCATTTTCTCCACATCCTCGTCAACACTTGTTAATTCTTGGCTTTTTGATAATAGTCTTTCTTTTTTTAATTTTAAATGTTTATTTTGAGAGAGAGAGAGAGAGCATGTGTGTGCACATAAGGCAAAAGGAGCAGAGAGAGGAGAGACAGAATCCCAAACAGGATCGGTGCTGTCAGCACAGAGCCCAAAATGGGCTTGATCTCAGGAACTGTGAGATCACAACCTGAGCAGAAATCCAGAGTTAGATGCCTAACCGACTGTGCCACCCAGGTGCCCCGATAATAGCCATTCTGACAGTTGTAGGTATCTTGTGGTTGTGATTTGCATTTCCCTGGTGACTAGTGATGTTAAACATCTTTTCACTTATTTATTGGCCATCTGAGTGTCTTCTTTGGATAAATATTTATTCGCGTCATCTGCCCATTTTTAACTGGATTATTATTATTACTGGGTTATTTTGGTGTTGAGTTGTAGGAGTTCTTTATATAATGTAGATATGAACACTCGTTGGATGTATCATTTGGCAGTACAGTCTCCATTCAGCAGGTTGCCTTTTTGTTTTGTTGATGCTTTCCTTTGCTTTGCTTTGTTTTTCAGTTTGATGTAGTCTCATTTTTTTGCTTTTGTTCCTCTTGCTTGAGGAGAGAGAACCAAAAAAATAAATTGCTCAGACTGATGTCCCAAGAGTTTACTGCCTGTGTTGTTTTTCTAGGAGTTTGATGTTTCCAGCCTTAGATTTAAATTTTTAATCTGTTTTGAGTTTATTTTTGCTTCTGATGTAAGAAAGTTATCCAGTTTTATTCTTTTGTGTGTAGCTGTCCAGTTTTCCCATCACCATTTATTGAAGAGACTGTCTTTTCGCCATTGTTAATGCCATTATTATAGTCAAATTAATTGAGTATATAAGTTGAAGGTTTTATTTCTAGACTCTGTTCTGTTCCATTGATCTGTGTGTCCTTTGTGCCGGTCCCATAGTGGTTTTTTTTTTTAATGTTTTATTTATTTCTGAGAAAGAGACAGCATGCACAGAGGAGAGTCAGAGAGAGAGGGAGACACAGAATCCGAAGCAGGCTCCAGGCTCTGAGCTAGCTGTCAGCACAGAGCCCGACACGGGGCTCGAACCCACGAACCGTGAATCACGACCTGAGCGGAAGTCAGACACCCAACCGACAGCCACTCAGGTGCCCCCCATAGTGTTTTGATTACTGTAGTTTCATAGTATAGTTTGAAGTAAAGGAGCATAATAGTTCGTGCTTTTTTTTTTTCTTTCTTTCTCAGGATTGCCTTGGCTATGTGGGTGGCTCCATACAAAACACACTGATATTTTTTAAGAGCCCAGGACACGACTTTATCCCTAATTGCCTGATTGGCCCGTTCATTCTTTAGTAGGGTGGTCTTTCACCTCCATGTTTTTGGGGGTTTTCCAGGCTTCTTCCTGTGATTGATTTCAAGTTTCAAAGCATTATGATCTGAGAGTGTGCATGGTATGATCTCGATTCTTTTATATTTATTGAGGGCTGCTTTATGTTCCAGTATGTGATCTATCTTGGAGAATGTGCCATGCGCACTTGAGAAGAAAGTAAATTTCTTGGCCTCAGGATGTAGAGTTCTAAATATATCTGTCAGATCCATCTGGTCCAGAATGTCTTTCAAGTCCATTATTTCTTTAGTGATTTTCTGTCTGGTTGACCTGTCCATTGCTGTAAGTGGAGTATTGAAGTCCCCTGCTGTTAGCACATTCTTATCTATGAGCCTGTTTCTCTTTGTGATTAATTGTTTCATATATTTAGGTGCTCCCATATTCGCTGCATAGACATTTATGATTGTTAGTTCTTCCTGATGGATAGACCCTGTAACTATTATGTAATGCCCTTCTTCATCTCTTGTTATTGTCTTTAAAGTCCAGTTTGTCTGATATAAGTATAGCTACTCCGGCTTTCTTTTGATTTCCAGTAGCATGATATATATTTCTCCATCCCCTTACTTTTAATCTGAAGGTATCTTCCAGTCTAAAATGAGTTTCTTGTAGACAGCATATAGATGGATTTTGTTTTTTTATCCATTCTACTACCCTGTGTCTTTTGATTGGAGCGTTCAGCCCATTTACATTCAGTGTTATTATTGAGCTATGTGGGCTTAGAGTCTTTGTGTCCTTTGTGAGCCCAGGACACTTGAATAGTAAAATGTTCTACTTTCTGGGGAATTGTTTTGTTTCCTCATGATTAGGTTTGGGTTAAACATTTTGCCACGAATATTAACTGGGAAATATTACCTCTCCCCTCTCCCCCATCACTTCAGAAAGCACATGATGTCAGTTTTTCCAATGTTGGTAATGATGCGTTTGGTCTCTTGGTTAAGTGGTATCTGCCAGACATACTGATGGTAACAGTATCTTTTTTCCTTCATAATTAAGAAGGTAAATGTAGGATGATACTTTGGGACCATGTGATAGTATTCTTACTCCAAAGCCTTTGGTGTACTCAGTGGGTTAGCATCCATTGATGATCCTTGCTTGAATCTGTTATTAGGGATTGCAGGATGTATTGGGGCTACTATTAAGCCACCATTTCCTCTCCAATGGAGAGGAGGAGAGGCAAGCCTCTTCTCCCCTTCTGGGGTGACTTCGCTTTGGCAGGAGGCCCTGAAAGTACAGTGCATCTCCTTGAGTTTTGTTAACCTGGACAACGTGATACCTACAAAAGCCCAGTGGGCACTGGCTTGTCATTGCTAATCTTTCATTACCTCAGCGATCTTAGAACTAGCATTCCCTCATTTGGAGGGTTATTGGTTTAAAGAGGAATTCTTCTCTTTAGTTGGCAAAGTTTCCATGCAGCCAGCGGCCTTAGGTGGGTGTAGCCCATCTCTTTCAGTGGAGCCTGCCTGGATTTAGAGCGGTTCTGTCAGGGACTTGTGTAGTGTTTGCCCTACACAGACACAAAACAGTAGGATTGTCTGATGAAGATAACGAACAAGCAATGTTAAGACAGGAGTTCCTGTGTGTTTCACCCTGACCAGTGTCGTATTTCAGTTCTAGTGTTGCTGCACATGGTTGCAGTTCCACGTCTGTTAGTCTTCTCTGAGCTGTCGTTGCGTTCCCATGTTCTCTTGCCTTTGGTTTGGCTTTCCTGATCCTCTTTTATTTTATTTATTTTATGTATGTATGTATGTATGTATATATTTATTTAAGAACAGTATCTGACATCATTCCGGCTTTTTAAAAAATTTTTTTTAATGTTTTATTTATTTTTTGAGAGAGAGATATAGACAGCATGAGCAGGGAGGGTCAGAGAGAGAGGGAGACACAGAATCCGAAGACAGGCTCCAGGCTC